AAAGAAATGATAAAGTGTACCTTGAAGTAATAGTCAAAAGTACTGGGGAAAAGGAAAGAACGTAAATATTTCTCTTAAAATTGTATCGTTAGCGTTTTGCCAATTGAAGCTGTGCAAATAATATTATATTAAGAGATAAATTTAAGGTGGGGGCGGGGGAAATGAGAATAGCACCGTTAGAATTATGTTAAGTTAAGTTAAACCGAAATAAAATTTACCTTAACTAGCGATATAACATCGGGTTAATCGGTCTGCAGAAGAAATCACTTCGTAAGCAGAAATGCTTTGAAAGCTTTGACTGCACTGATTGCACAAGCTCCTTTCATTTAAGTCAAAAATTCAACTTCGGTTCCTCAAAAAAAATATTAAACAAATACAAGTAGTCACGACGGCGACGTTCAGAAAAACGTCGTTTACAAAAGGAAACTTTCATTAACCGCATGCACCTTGTTTACATGCACCGATAGCTTCAGATCTCTTGCTCAACACAACTTACACAGGCAACATTGAGATTAGAGTAGAAAAGTGATTACACTTTCCGTCGATTTTCCAGTTTTCAGACATTGCAAATAATTTAACAGTGTTCAATGCAGATTAGACTAAGTTAATAAAGGCCCCATGCAGAGCTATTATAGTTCTGTTCACCTACATAATCCTTTGTTTCGCCGCTTTCCAACTTCCACCGTCACAATTATTTATCTATGACATAACTTAGACACAATTTCGCTCTGATTGGTCAAAAATCCATCGTTCATTTTGCCGGTAAACCCATGGAAGACTGAAACATCTTCCTGTCCGGAGAAATGACGCCACATGAAATGAACTCCCAGATTTTAATTTTCTTTGGAGGAAACGAAGAGGACGTTTTGAATGCCGAAAACAACGACAAATACTTTATATTTCTCGCATTTATCAAATTGGCTATTAAAATGCTGAATTTCCCCAAATTGTTCCCGGAGAGGGAAAGGTCGAGAGGGAAAAGTTGCCACGTTTTTTCTTTAAGAAAACTGTAGCAACAAACAAACAGGATTTCATTAAAAAAATTATTGGAGAAGTTGTATACCACTCTTAAGTCAAATGGCACAGTTAATCCCATTAGGGACCGAGACTGGTAAAAAATTTATAATTCGTCAATTAAACTAGCAAAATGCTAACAAGAAGAACTTGAGCAATGTAAGGTTGTAGATCACTACAGGTCTGACTTTTTCTCAGGCCTTATTTTGACTTCTTCTTAAGTAATGTTTATAACTGCGATAATCGCTTTCCGTTCATTTGTTAAAAAACCTCAGTTCACATCTATGGTTTTCCTATATTCACAGTCATTGAAAGGAAGATGTTTCACCGACACATCTCCACTTCAGTTGTTTTAAAAGGCTCCCAAACAAACTTTGAGACATCTTTTGACAGCTGTCAATTTAAAAAATGCTTGCACTTTTGAAAAAACAACAGTATGTCTTATCAGCGTAGCAAGCAAACTTGAGCTGGTTGAATATTACAACGAGATTTTCTTCAAATAGCCAAATGATCCAAGGAAGAGTTTCATTCACTTCCAAAACAAGAAATCTTCGCAGATTTTGCTCCGTTCATTTTTGAATGGCAAGGAAATTCACCGTGAGTAAATTCAAATGAATGTTTTGAAGTTGCAAAAGTTTTAAACGGCTATGAATATATGAAAGTCATATATTTGAAGTGCGGTTAAAGTGGGAGCTTGGAATCAACAGTGACCAGCTCCCAGTTGGCTTGTTAGCTCAGTTGGTAGAGCGCTGCACCGGTATCGCAAAGATCATGGGTTCAAATCCCGTACAGGCTTGAAATGTTTTCAGGCCTTCTTTTCACTACTGCTTGAGTGGTGTTCATTACTGCGAAGATCGCTTTCATATTGCAAAAGTTTGTTAGTTTATTTGTTGTGATGATGCGATTTATTCCTTTCTTCCTCCGAAAAACTGTAGTTGAATAAGAAACTTACAAGAAATAAGAGGATTTAATGCGGCTTACAGTCATTAAACCTTTTTTTTTTTTTTCAGTGTAATTTACGGTAGAAGTATGAGTACAGTTATCACCAAGCAGGCGAATTGAAGTGCACACCTGTCAGTAACTATGACGTCACTCGCATTGAAAAATTAGCATAGGAAACAACATGATTTTGAGTGCAATTTGTTGTTATTAAGTACGAGTAAATTTTCCAAAGACAGTAAAATTGTGCCGTACAAGGTACAACTTTAACATGCGTAGTCAACTGTACCGCGGGCACGTTAATGCCACGGCTTTGTTCAGTAGTCCAGTGGTCAGTGCACTGGGCTCCGAGTCGGACGACCCGGGTTCTAGTCCTGGCCGAGGCAAGGCGTTGTGCCCTTGAGACGTGCGGGGAAGAAAATGCAAGCTCCACTTTTAGGCTTGGCTAAATCTATACATTACTTAGGCGTGCTGAAATTCAAAATGGCTGCCTCGCGTTCAGCAATCAGTACCTAGAAAGTGACAAACGCGATGGAAAAAAATTCAATTCCGAAGAGCATAAATACCACATTTGAAAGTAATCAAAACAATCGTGACAAAACAAGCGCAAAGCTTCTTTTTTTCATGAAATGTACTGTTTCTCGATCAGTAGAATATTGTTAATGATTCTAAAAACATGATCGTTGTGCAGGTGTACTCAAAGAAATGCAATTATCCTCGAGTGCGAAATTCCAAGTTAATCAGTAACCCAATTCGTTCTCTGTTCAAAGCGTTCAAAGTGCATTGTATCTGCTTCAGATTGAGCGAAACTATCTACAGTAGAAGACGGTTGTTTAGGAAAAAGTGGATGACATAGCTAGTTGTATACCTAAAAAATACCATAAAAATCAAGTGTTTCAAGTTAATATCATCGCGCCTCACCTGCGCGGCCCAGATTAGTGTTACATTCTCAATCTAACAATGATCGAAATCACTTTTGCAATGCTTGTGCAAAATCCGAAGGCTTTCCAGCGCAGTTACGGCTTATTGGTAGCATTAGCCATGTTTCTAAGCTAACATATTTCTTCTGATGCTCTGACTAACAATGACTCTGACTGTCTATGCTTGATAACAAACATAAAATAAAATAAAAAAATTTAAAACACAGCGAACGCTATGGCGAAATTATTTAGTGAATGTAAACCTGAAAACGCCAACCTTTCACCGATGAGCGGAATTTGGCCAAGATCTTTCTGTAGAAGTAAATCCCTTTAAAATTGGATATCTGTTCGCAAAATGAGGTTTTATCTCGATCACAACCGTTACGAATTAACGAGAATTGCAAATGAATGGCTTGAAAAGCTCACAAAGCCGAAAGGGTTATAAATAACTAATCGCAATCAATATTTAAGAACGGAATTAAGATAAACAAGTTAGAGAGGTGTCTATTGGGAAATTTTTAATTTTATTTTCCTTTTTTGAAATGTGTGACATTCACCATGATTGGAATTGTAGCTGTAGGTTATCCATCCAAGTTGTTAAGGCAACGTGAAAAATAGAACCGAATATTTCCCACGGAGATTTCAATTTGAGGAGGTGAGATCAAAAATTGGTCATAAAATTATTCGCTTTCTTTTATGGATACAAATCCAACTTATGGTAATAGAAGAATTGCAAATGGAGCAAAATCAAATGTGAAGGCTTATGATGTATTATCTATCAAACAAGCATTTTCAATCCCTAAAAGTGCTGACAATTATCGATATGATATATAATTTATAAATGGTCCTCAATGCGACATGAAGAGTTACGTTAAAATTTCTGGAACCGTCACTCGTTAATGGGAGTCTCGACAAATTTTATTTCTTCCAAACAGCCAACTAGATAATATTTTTAATATTTTTCGCTTTTTTCAGAGCCGTACTTTCAGGATTCTTAGGGGATTTCTGCATACTTAGAACGGCTAGGATATGTTTTTCTGAAGTACTAATTGATACCGCGGAATAAGACGATGAAATGCTCAATATTTAATTATTGTTCCGTTCGCTTTCAGACTATGTCACGGACTCCATCAGGGAGTGTTTTGAAACAGACGTAAGGACTTAAAACCTGACGATTGTAGAAAACGAGGCTGCAAACCTAGGTGAATGAGGCATTGAATTAAATCTTTAACTCCTATCATTGACCAAAATTGAATTTCTTCTCACAATATCCATACAATATCAAGCAGAAAGAGAATAAAGAAAAAAATCAAAACCAGGGGATTATAAATTGATCCAATTCTAAATTCTCCGAACTAACTTTATAACAATTGTATGGCAAACTGTATGGAAAATTAGTTATGAGATCTTAGGAGTGAGAGCGTTAATTTGATCCTGCGCTGTTCACAAAAATTCAATCGGTTTTATGTAAGTATAAGTGTTGTGCGTAGGCCTCTTACAATTGTGCTTGTAGAATTCTGGAAAGTTTCTCACTGAATGCAAAAAAGTTGCTAAAAATTGCTAAAAATCCAACAGGGTGCTGCCTCATTTTCTTGACATTTTTATAGAAACGTCAATCAAAAGTTTTATTTTTCGTTGTTCACAATAATTCTAACATCGGTCACCAAAAAAAAGAAAGTTAAAGGTATCTTTTAAGAGTCGCTAACTAATATGGGTGAAATTTATGGATATACTCCAAGTCAATAAGCCAGCGAAATGTTGTCAAGTGACGAGCTATGTGTTCAAAGGTTGATGAAAAGTCCAAAAATTTGCATAAATTGAACTTTTCTCCGAAATTGTTGATTTTTATGAGTTTGATATGTGCCGTAAACCTGTATTTTGCTCCAAAATTGCTCAGAAAAGCAAAAATCTTGTTTTACTCGGGAGCTCCGAGACAGAGCGTCGAAAAAGCATTTAGTATCTGGGATGCCAATTTTTCCCGGTATTCATGGAGTAATTAATTTTTTTTAAACCTTTTTGAGAATAGGGACATGTCACTTTGTATAAGAAAGTAAATTTAATCATTGAAAATGAAACACGTCCTATTGATTTAACAAAAAGACTGAAAACGAGAGAGTTAAGTGATTCTGGCCTTAGGGACAAATTCTGACAATCTCTACCAACTTCATCAAATTTATGTCTCTCTCATTGCTTAAGTCTATCTTTATTTTTCATTATTTTCACTTTGGACTCATAGCTTGCTTATCTTTACAATTGTCTTCTTTTTCAATAATTATAGTGTCATTACTTTTTTTTTCATCTTTTTGTTTTCAATCTAAAAGTTCTTTATCCAGCACTGAATAGCTACGCTTTTCAAAATAACAATAGGGAGATTATTACATCTACAAATCAATTCTTCTTCGAAAGCCACGTGCTAATCGTAAATCTGCCCTAGGCGTCCACGTGATAAGCGCGGGTACGTTCTACGTCAACGGCAGCCACATTCTGTGGCGACCATGTCTCGGTATTGGCGCAGGATCACGTGACCGTCTTTCTTAAAGTACATGATCCCCAGCATATCGGTGCTGAAGTTTGTTGCGACGCAGCAGTTAAGCACTACCTTGCCTCCTCCATCCATCCGCTCCGCAGCCAGGGAGCGCACCACGGCATGGTTGCTGAAACTGGCGGCACCAGCAGTCAGGTCACACTTTCCCACACAGTCATAGGCGTTGAACGAGAGCGGTGCGATGAGGAAGTTCCCGAAAGTCTGCTTGGTGTTGATATGCAAGTCACGTCTGGTGCACAGATCAGTGTCGTTGGTAGATGGCCGGGAATTTGTCTTGTTCATACCAATATCTCGACGAAGCCGACTAAAAGAAGCACAAAACAGTCTATTTAAGTTCTGCATTTGGAAGTGCATTCTTATGATCCCCCACCCCACCCCACTCAGTGGCAGCTTGTGGAGAAGTGAGAGGAACTGGGGAGAACAAACGCTATTCGCAAACTCGCCAGGCCAACAGAAAGATCACTAGTCTATTTTAAATGTGAATAGGGAAGCTGTTTCGTAATTTCCAAGTTATTCTGATGATCTCCCAAAATTCGATTGGATAGTTCAATCTGAACAGGGAAATGTGGTGTGTTTCCGGAATAAAATGTCAATATTTATTCTCATGTCAATATTTATTTGAGGACGAAATTAGTGTCACCGAAAGCATGTGAAGAAAGGAAAGAGAAGATTGAGTGAAAGAAGCATTTGCTCACCTCCCCAAGAAAGGATCGTACTCAACTTCCTGAAGCTGCCTTCCGTCAGTGTAAACAACCATGAATACTCCATCTGAGTTCCCATTTGTTGTGTTGGAGATCAGAGGTTTTGGAACAGAGTCATCGGCTGAGTCTGACACTACTTTGACCTGCACCTCATGGACTGTGTCAATGGATTGAAACCATTGTACAACGGCTGTCTCGACCATTGGGAACACAATCCAGTTGGGATCTGCTCCTTGAAGTGCAGATTTGGTAATGAGCCTGCTTGTTTTCTTGTCGTAAAGGCCACAACTGCCTAGTTTATCATCACTGAAGGCCTGTCCAAAGATTTTTTGAAAGTTTATCCTCATTTCGGCCTTTTCGACGTGTTCTTTAGGATCAATCCCCTTCACGTCGAAACGGATTAGTTTGGAAGCGGCATCAACTGCAAGTAAAAGTCGAATTGTTTATGAATTAGATGTTTGATTTTTTTTTTGATTCCAGTTAATTATTGTCATCTTAATTTTTTTTTTGTGCTTACTAGTTTCATCTTTTTGCTTTGTTTTATTGTTCGGTTCAATTTGGGCGCATTCCTTGGGATGTATCCAGCTCGCTTTGAAGCAAGAGACTTGGATTCTATGCATCCACTCACAAAAAATTTGGCAAACAGTTCAGATACGGTAATTGTTTATTAATTGAAATGTATATGTTGGTAAAAGTCAAATTAGATGGTTGAAAATGGATGAAGATTTGATTGAGTGGTTTTAAATATAAGGAAATAGGGATTTAGGAACTGCTACTCTCTCTGAAACCCTTTCGGTCATCAAACAGATGAGTAAATTCCCTTAAAATCATTGAAATAGCACCAAATTTTTAGGGTGATTGCCTTGTTTCCTATCGTAAATGTTCAAGGAACAACGCTTTTAAGAGCATTAATTATTCTGATTTGGTTGCGAACAGAGAAACTGCTTCTAAAATTTAATTCTCCTAACTTGTCGGTTTCACTGATCTAAAATTCTTCGTTGAAAAAAGACAATTATTCATCATACCATTTCCCTGAACGGAGTGGATGATTTCTGAAACTGTGGAATTTGTCGCTTTAACCTGCCCGTCGTCATAGAAATAGTCGTGATAAAGATTCCTAAGAAAGATTTCTGCAGCTCCTCCTGCAGTGAAAACTTTTCCAACTTGAAAACCATGGTTCTTTCCTGTATGGGAATTTGTATTCACTTGAGCCCGCCCGTGATTTTGCGGTCGCCCATTCGAGGGACTCAGTAAGTGTAGCAAAATCAATAGCATACCGGAGTACGACATACTTTTTTCGGACAGATACATGTTCATAGGGTCCACAGATGATGGAAAATGAACGTGAGTGTCATTCCGTCGGTTATATATGCTCTCAAGGTGATCTTGGCTATTAACTGAAAACTATTTATAATTCATGCGTTAATAGATTTAAAGAAATTAGTTTATCTTAAGTGATGGCCGCACTGAGAGGCTGTTTAATGCCGAAAAGTTGCTATTTGAGATACTGAGCGCTTTTAACTGAAACTAGAACATCCGAATAAGATCAATATCTGGTTCATAGCAACTGCTTAAATTAGAAATTTGTTGCGTGCACAAGGGTAGGCTTCTGCCGACCCTTGACTGATAGGGAAACCACAGTTACAAAGTTTGCACGTTTGAACGAAAAAAATCGATCTCTGGGCGCTCAGGTGATTATGATTAGAAATCAGCACAAAAAGGTAGTGTTTCAGCTAAGATATTTTTGTTCATTTTCCCCGTTTTTATACAAGGAGATCAACCGGAGTAATTTCCGGTTTTTCTTAGCAAGTGTGTCCATTTTAGCACAAACAGGCCTCTGCTCTAGGAACTAAACACGACACTCTACAAGGCAACGAGGATTATTACGTGAATAGGAAAATCTATTAACAGTTTAGCTCGGCAAACGGGAAAACGACCGCTGAGCTCTGCTGAGTGGTGCAACAAATTACCCGAGAAAACAGCACTCAGGGAAAAAACTGCACGTGATTGTTTCTCGCTCTCCAATTTTTCTGCGCTGCAATTTTTTAACGAAACGTTTAGAAAAACACTTGAAAATATACTGAATTATCTAAACCAGCTCTGCCGTTTTCAAAGAAAAGGTTACGTTTTGCATGCTTTGACATTGGATATTGTATTTTCGAACTTATTTTTCCCGGAAATATGGCATTTCAACTCTTCCGTTCTTAAGTTTGACTCAACGTTATCGACTGAGCATCCAAGAGAGAAAACTTCAGAGAAATTTGATATACTCAGTATCACGTCGATTTTTCAGAGAGTTTACTTATGATTCTCTTATAAATTATAACTTATAAGAAGAATCTGTAAAACGCGTGACGTGATGTCTTCCACCAAGGACGAAAACATCTTCCCACGCTTCCAGAATAGACCAGACTACGCCGATAATACACTTTACACAGTGTTATTGTATCATCTTATCGGAATTAAATCCCATTTTCCGGTGTTGAATACACGATTATTTGGCTCTAAAACTGAGCAACTATGAGGAGGAAAACAACTCTACCGGCGGAAGGCTATGAATTTAAGAGTAGCTTTCGATTCTAGAAGGAATGAGCTTTACATATTTCCCGATTTCAAGAAAGCAACCGAGTTGATCACTTGAAATCTAGAAACTTTTTCAAGTTGACATATTTTATACTGAAATAGAATCTATAAATTTCTTCGCTTGATCCTGCTCATTGACTGATTAATTGAGCGTTGAGTTATTATTTTGTGGACTGATCAATTCATCATCGCTGCTGTTCTATATTTATATTTTGATGCTAACTTTGTAAGACCACCCTCTAATAATTGGTGAACATCATGCATTATAAGAACTTTTTTTTTGGTTGTATCTGTTTTTAAAATTTAAACAAAAGATCTGTAGTGAAAAAAAAGATTCGATAGCCAGTTGGCAACAGAAAAAAAGTGCATTTAGCTCAAGTATAAGCATTTTACATCTGATAGTAAAGTTGCTATCAACAACAGCAAGGCTTAGGCTGTAGCGATGCCGTCGTGTTTGCATTTTTTTAAAATTGGATTTAAGTTTTAATTATCTCCTAAACGAGGACTGTTTAAGAAAGTTTCTCGCTCATAAGGTGAAGAGATATGCTTCTTTGTGTGCAGTATTTTGTAATTTTTTTCCCTTTTTTTTCAATTCCTTTTTTTTTGCGAAAGAGGGTCTCGCCTTTTAATTCTACTAATAGCATATTTTGGTTAAAAGAAAAAAAGTTAAAGGTGGCGTACGTCGACAACACATGAAAGGAAAGCTTTGTATGGTATGTGAGTGAAGGGGCGAATTTTCGACAAACAAAGTCCTTATAACTCGAGTGCTGGTGATTATTATACCTTAAGAAGCCGCTCTCTTAGGCGTTACAAGCAATCCTGTCAGTGCGATGTACTGTGGTGAAACGAGACGAGAGCGGATGTTAAAGTAGAAAATAAACGCAAGAGATATTTGACTACTGTTGTATTTTCTCACTTTTTATCGATGCTTTTGCCGCTAAGTTACATTTCTATGCACGACGCAGACCCGTTTGGTGTCAGTACGTTGATCTTTTACACCTAAAGCCGGCTTGTCCGTTTGGCTTGAAATCAAATCATTTCACATGATTTATCACATAAGACTTGCCTTTGTTAATTTTACCTTGGAAACTACACCAGTTGTCGCTAGGGTTGCCTAGATCTATGTGAAGTTCATTAAATTTTAGTTCCAAGAGCTGCAAGCTGTTTCCCTAAAAAACATAACTCTGTTGCAAAATCATGTTCAAGTTGACAGATTTTAGACTGGAATAGAACCGTAGATAAGTTGTCTTGATCCGTTCGTTGACTTATTAATCGTGAGTTGACACTGAGATTAATTACCGGGCTCATTAATTAACATCAGCATCGCTCTATTTTTGTATCTAAGGAGAACTTTCACTCTGCCTGGCCTATTAATTACTTTTCGCCTTAATAAATTAAAAGAACGTGTCACCTCTTTTTCAACTGTTTTGTATATACGAAAAAAGATGTTATGAAATAATGGCTGGTTGGTAACAGAAAAAATGACTTTAGCTTAAGTATAAGAATTATATCGAAGGTAAAGCTGCCAGCAACAACTAGGGAAACTTTTGTATGTAATGCCATTATGTATTCATTTCTTAATTGGATTTGGAAATCGTTAATTTTATGAACGGGGACTGATTAGGAGAGATTCTCGCCCATGAATTGACTGAGGCATTTTCTTCTTTGCGCTATAAATTTTCTATTTTTTTCCCTCTTTTTCAGTGAAAGAGGAGCCCATCTTTTCATTTAATAATAGGAACATTTGATAATAAAAAGAAAGCTGATGTCGACTAAAATAAATGATTCTAAACAGTAAGTGTCTACTTTGTCTGGTAAAGAGCGGACTTGCAACAAACAAAGTCCCTAATACTCGAGTGCAGATGATTCCTGTAACTTGAGAAGGCAATCCCTCAGGCTTAACACAAGAAAGATATAGAGAGAAACGCGAGACAAAATCATCAGCTGGTGCAGTTATTTTTTACACTATTTTACGTGAAATTGCATGTTGAAACCGTTTCGCGACAACGAAATTAACCTTAATCAGAAGTATTGTCTTTTTGGCTTAGCACTAATTCATTTTACATCATTCGAAAAGATCTTTGAGCTTTAAATTCTTTACTTTTACCTTGGACACTATATCAGTTGTCAGTGGAGCTGTCAACTTTATTGATTTGTTTATTATGTCTTAGCCACTTCGTAATTTGACCAGTCACGTTGTTCTTGGACCAGTTCAACCATAGTGATTTTAAAAATTTATAAACTGTCTGAATCATAAATGAATAAAGGGGGTTAACTTCCCAGTAAAGATGGTACTGCGTCGGTGGGAGAGTATAACAGGGTAAATCAGTGTTGTGAACTGAGTTGGTAACGTGAATTGGCCACCGTAAAGAGTTAAAAGGCTGACGTTTCGAGCGTTAGCTTTTCGTCAGAGCTATTGAAGAAGGGCTAACGCTCGAAACCTTAGCCTTTTAACTTTTCACGGTGGCCAATTTACGTTATGTTATTTCATCAACCGATGAAAGAGGAGCCCATCTTTTCATTTAATAATAGTTACATTTGATAATAAAAAGATAGCTGATGTCGACTAAAATAAATGATTCTAAACAGTAAGTGTCTACTTTGTCTGTTAAAAGGGCGGACTTGCAACAAACAAAGTCCTTAATACTCGAGTGCAGGTGATTCCTGTAATTTGAGAAGGCAATCCCTCAGGCTTAGCACGAGAAAGATATAGAGAGAAAGGCGAGACAAAATCATCAGCTGATGCAGTTTTTTTACACTATTTTACGTGAAACTGCATGTTGAAACCGTTTGGCGACAACGAATTTAACCTTAATCAGAAGTATTGTCTTTTTGGCATAGCACTAATTCATTTTACATCATTCGAAAAGATCTTTGAGCTTTAAATTCTTTACTTTTACCTTGGACACTATATCAGTTGTCAGTGGAGCTGTCAACTTTATTGATTTGTTTATTATGTCTTAGCCACTTCGTAATTTGACCAGTCACGTTGTTCTTGGACCAGTTCAACCATAGTGATTTTACAAATTAATAAACTGTCTGAATCATAAATGAATAGCCTTGTAACTCTTCACGGTGGCTAATTTACGTTATCAACTCAGTTGATATCACCAAGTTACCCAGTCTAAATCAAACATTCTTTGCCTTTTTCAATCCACCAAAGACGAGTTATCCATTCTGAATTTAATTGCATCCTTTCGCAATATTTCAAATGGTGCCGAGATTATATCAATTCAATCTGTTATTTTTAACCATTTATACTGTTTTCTGTCCAACGGTTGTCCTGATAGAATGCTTCAGAAACTGCTTTTAACAATAATGAACTGAGTAAGAAGTCAGTTGGTTTAGAGCGTAGAGCGAAGGTTCGAAGCTCTCTCTCTCAGTTAGATTTTTGGGTAGAATAGCTATTTGTCGAATGCAGTAGAATTTAGCTTAGGAAAACATTGCGGGAATAAGAATAAACTCCTTCTGAACTTAAATTACGTAACTCCCTGTCGGAGTTTACCTTCCAGATTTCAACCATTGAAGGTTTCAGAAGACAGCTTTTTTTTTTTCCTGCCATGTAAAATTCCAGACGACCTCCTGATTATATAAGTGATCTTCATAAATCAAAAGGGCGGTTCACATTTTTCAGGCGTTTCCGAGATAGAAATGAAGATGTGTCGTGAAGAGAGATTTGATGGCTGTTAAGCAACATGAGAAGGCCATTTTAGCTAGCTCAAGTACAAGCAAAGATACTGATAGTA